TTTTCAGATCGTTCGGACATGATCGTCAGAGCAGAACCTATGCTTCAATCTAAATTGTCAAGAATTCAGAAGGAATATGAACATTCTTGTTCGAGACTGAAAGAAATTTCTTCAGAAATTCGATCTAATCACCCAAAGAATATTATCAAAGTCACTGACCTTCAGACAATTATCCGAAAACAACTCTATGATGCTCGGGCAAGAAGAAAGGTAGATCAATTTTTGTTAAAATCCAAGTGGCTGCCGTACTCTGAGAGAAGAACATTATTTAAAAAAGCTTTTGATATTCCAAATGTACAGACCGATGCAAGAGCTCCAGGAATATCTGTCGTTAAATCAGAGATAGAAGAGCAGTTGGAAACGCTAAAAGATTGTGTCGAAATGAAAAAACTTCCCTCTGAAGAGACAGGTCAAGAATTTTTATACCTTGTCAGAAATAAGTTTGATGCAATATTTAAAGCTCAATCTGCAAAGCTGAAGGTTTTACCCTATCCTTACAAAGAAAATGTAAATAACGACAATAGTGGTTTAGGAGGGGAGAAGAAAACAGATTTGGCGTCAGATACTTTCACTTATTTGAAAGAGTCTACTTGGACAAATGATCCTTCTTACAAATCTTCAAAAGTTTTTTTTCCTCCTCAAGATGCATTTGAGCAAAAACAAACTATATTAATGACCAACGATTTACGAATTGATCCACAACTTCAAATAGAGGCTGGGTTTTTTACACACTACAGAATTACAGTATGCAAGAAAACGATTGAAAGATCAAGCAGATTCTCATTTCAAAAGAGCAAGAGTAGAAGATGAAGTTCAGACCTATCTTGAAGAAGGATATATAGCTGAGCGAAAGTTACCTCATAACAATGAAGAAGATTCCAATGTGGAGGGAAAGCGATTCAGAATAAGGTCGCAGCTTTATACTTGCTCAGATTCATAAGAGTGCGTGAGTTTAAAAGAAAACTATTGGACATTCTTAATTACTTTAGATCCATAGAAAAACGCCTTTATTTTGACCATATTGGATATTTAGCAACAACCGAAAATGCCAGTTCAAGTTTTATTAGAAAATTTTTCGTTTCTTCTGACGATTTAGAAAAACTTGCTTCTACCGACTCTCTTCCTCTTAATGCAACCTTCAGAGATGATAAATATTCTCTTCATTTGAAGCGGGATGTGGTAGTGAGAGATGCAAATGGACTTAAAATTATGTATGATGCTGCTCTAAAAGATTATGAATTGCTAGAAGAACGTCTACTCAAAATTGGATCGTACTTTATTGAAAAAAACTTGTCATCTTTTCCTAAACTTCAAGTTGACAGATTTGTGGTTCTTGAAGGATTACTCGAAAGTGAAACATGGTTCCAAGACTCTAAGCGTAAAGTCATTGATTGTTACATGGAAGCGTATGAACATTGTTACGAACCAAAGGAACAATTACGCTTGGCAAGCGCAATCATGCAAATTATGAAAAAAACTCCAAAGTTTAATTTAGAAAGCCACTATTTTTCCGAAAGTTATGCGTCAGAAATTATTTGCTTAGAATTATATCATAGTTTACTGAAAGACATTCTCAAGGAGCAAATTAGGGATGAAAAAGATTATCTTTCATTCATATACGAAGCAATTGATCCGTCAACCGAAAGAAGTGGATTTCCAGATAATGTAACTTTGGATAACTTTGCACAAACAGAGCTCTTTCCTGGATCCTCTAAAGTGGGATTTCTTGATTTTTATACATCAACAAGCATCATTGGTCGGATTCATGAACATCTAGAAAAAGCTGTTAACAATATTACAAACTCATTTAAATTTAAGAATGTTTTGTCTTTGAATGCTGTACGACGATCTGTCTTGCAGCAACTGATAGTGGAATGGAAATTAATTGCTAAGGAGGAAAAGATCCAAAAGGCAATTAAAAGTAAATTATCAGAAGAACGATCTGCAATTGAAGATACCAACATTTTAGAAGATCCCAATGAGTTGATATTTTTATTGAACACTGTAATAGACACAGAGAAAATGCCAAAGCATAATACCGATGATCAAGAAAACATGATCACAAGAGATACGGAAGGAGGATTCTCCATGGCAGAGAAAGACTCTATACCGCTCCAATACTTTTCGAATTTAGTTGAAATGATCACCATCTGGAAACATTTAACAAAAGAACTGTTGGAAACAGACATTCTGACCGCTATCTTTAATTCACAAGCCACTCTTGTTGGTACAGCACAACAGTCAATGAACTCAGCCCTTGGACCTCTCAACTTTGACACCAAGGATGCTTTGAATGATTCTCAGCACTCATTCCCTGAAATGAAAACACAGTACCTTACCAACTTGGCGATCGTCGAGTTCGATAGCTCAATGGCAGAAGCCAATTTCAACTCTTTTGATGGCATCAAACGATTAGTTGGATTAGTCGGACTGTTCGAGTTGAGACATCTGTATCAATATCAAATGCTGCAAAAAATTCTCTACGAAACCGCTGTAAAATATAATCAGACGCCGCTCGACGATTATTATGTGGCCCAAGAAAAGAAAGAATTCTTTGTGACATCAATGAACACTCAAAATGACACATCTCAATATATAACAAAGGAGGTTCTTCAGGAGTTATTCTTGACATTCAATAACATGAAAATACCCATACGTCAAAGAATCCTAAAGGAATACCAAAAGTTGTCCGAAGGTATTATCAAAAGCAAGCGAGCGAATGTAGTTAGAAAATATCTAAGAGATCTCAAATTCAGACTTTCTGCGAGTTTTTGTACATCAATGCTGTCGACTATTCAACCTTATATTTTAAAATGCGATATTATCGATGTAGTTAGAGAGCTTAGAGCTACATTAGGCGCCGTCTCAGTTGGCAGTGGATTTTTGATTGGTAAACCAGATCACAACGTTCAAATTTCATCACACGGCGTAGTCTCGAAGAACAAAGATGATCATGCAAACAAATGCGTTATGGCAAAAGATGGAGAGGTTGTGAATGTTACCTATGTTCCTCACTTTATTCAAATAATGAGAACTTCTTTCATTCAGGCCAACGAGGAGGAAAACACAATGACAGACAATTTCTATAACTTATTGCAAATATTACAACGTACCTTCATCATTTTGAAATTTTGGGCGATCAGTATTCAAGCAACTGCAAAATTGTATGATATTATCATCAATGAAGGATATGGATTGGAAAAAGGTTTAGAAACCTATTGCAAGTCTTTGACTTCGGAGCTTGAACACTTGAGACAGCCAGAAAATCCAGCCTCCGTTATTAGTTATTTGACATTGAAATGTGAAACTCTACTTTTAAAATATATTCTTATTCTGGACAACTTGAAACATAAATTAAGAAAGGAAGGAATGAGATCGTGTATGATTGCTGAGAATTATTTACAAAGTATTACCCATGAACCCATAGAAGACAACCTTTCAGAATCAGATGTATATGTTATTTCTCCAAAG